AAAAAAATTTAAATGTTGAGAAAAAATGTTTCTTCATTTAAATAAATTGCCCGTGATTGCCAGTGATATGAAACAGAAATTCTTTTTCAAATATCTTAATATTTGAATATTTTATTCGAATATTTGTGATATTCGATTTTTCAAATACTCATTTGTGCAATTTTGTACGGACCGCACTACATAACTATCTATATGTATACGTGTCGTCTCATGAAAAAATGACCATGTACCAAAGTCATCGCAACTCATTGGGAGACCACGAACGATGACTAGAAACACCATTTTGGTGGTTGCTAATGATTTGTTCAAGCGATTTCGATGAGTTTTGTGATGAAATAACACTAGAAGGAATATGGATGTCGCAGCAGTCCGTCGACTGGTAGTTTGGTTTGACTACTAGTAGAATGCGACCTGTTGTTGGTTGGTAGTATTCTTTCATACAGTGGTTTTGTGTAGAGCATTCGCGTGTTCTCACCACACAATTCTTTAAATTCAAACAAAAATTATTCATGGTATTCTTCCTATTGTTGTGAGCATGCTTCATTAAGTTGAGGCGTTCCAAATGCTTGAATGGTAGGAAGCGAGCTCTATCCGATCGGCAGGTCGATGTGTGCAGGCTCGTTAATATAGCACGGAGAGATTTTTGATGGTTTTCGAAAATCTCCACACAAAAGGGGCATAAAAACGAAAATATGAAATTCTTAATTTCATATCAATATCAAGTGTAGTAAGTTGAAAAACATACTATGCTGCAATGTTTCAAAGTAATTTGAAATAAATTGCTAAAAATATTGAGAAAAATACCACAATATACAATTTTTTGATAAAATCTTAAAGACGTTTGCGCGGCAATAGCTGGCTTCGTTTTGATTTTTCATTAAGTTGTTGAAACATGGAAAACAATACAATGAAACATTATTCTGGTTGATCCTGCCAGTAGTTATATGCTTGTCTCAAAGATTAAGCCATGCATGTCTAAGTACACACGAATTAACAGTGAAACCGCAAAAGGCTCATTATATCAGTTATGGTTCCTTAGATCGTTAACAGTTACTTGGATAACTGTGGTAATTCTAGAGCTAATACATGCATTATAAACACGGACCTTTGGGACGTGTGCTTTTATTAGGCTAAAACCAAGCGATCTTTGATCGTTTATATGGTTGAACTCTAGATAACTTGCAGATCGTATGGTCTCGTACCGACGACAGATCTTTCAAATGTCTGCCCTATCAACTTTTGATGGTAGTATCTAGGACTACCATGGTTGCAACGGGTAACGGGGAATCAGGGTTCGATTCCGGAGAGGGAGCCTGAGAAACGGCTACCACATCTAAGGAAGGCAGCAGGCGCGTAAATTACCCACTCCCAGCTCGGGGAGGTAGTGACGAAAAATAACAATACAGGACTCATATTAGAGGCCCTGTAATTGGAATGGGTACACTTTAAATCCCTTAACAAGGACCTATTGGAGGGCAAGTCTGGTGCCAGCAGCCGCGGTAACTCCAGCTCCAATAGCGTATATTAAAGTTGTTGCGGTTAAAACGTTCGTAGTTGAACTTGTGCTTCATACGGGTAGTACAACTATAATTGTAGTTTGTACTATACCTTATGTATGTAAGCGTATTACCGGTGGAGTTCTTACATGCATAGGTACTTGTATTTATGTATGTTCCTCCTATTTAAACCTGCTTCAGTGCTCTTCATCGAGTGTTGTTGTGGGCCGGTACAATTACTTTGAACAAATTAGAGTGCTTAAAGCAGGCTCCAAATGCCTGAATATTTTGTGCATGGAATAATGAAATAAGACCTCTGTTCTACTTTCATTGGTTTTTAGATCAAGAGGTAATGATTAATAGAAGCAGTTTGGGGGCATTAGTATTACGACGCGAGAGGTGAAATTCTTGGACCGTCGTAAGACTAACTTAAGCGAAAGCATTTGCCAAAGATGTTTTCATTAATCAAGAACGAAAGTTAGAGGTTCGAAGGCGATCAGATACCGCCCTAGTTCTAACCATAAACGATGCCAGCTAGCAATTGGGTGTAGCTACTATCATGGCTCTCTCAGTCGCTTCCCGGGAAACCAAAGCTTTTGGCTCCGGGGGAAGTATGGTTGCAAAGCTGAAACTTAAAGGAATTGACGGAAGGGCACCACCAGGAGTGGAGCCTGCGGCTTAATTTGACTCAACACGGGAAAACTTACCAGGTCCGAACATAAGTGTGTAAGACAGATTGATAGCTCTTTCTCGAATCTATGGGTGGTGGTGCATGGCCGTTCTTAGTTCGTGGAGTGATTTGTCTGGTTAATTCCGATAACGAACGAGACTCAAATATATTAAATAGATGCTTTCAGGATTATGGTGTAGAAGCTTTTATAGCCTTCATCTGCGACCGCAGTAAAATGCGTTAGTGGTTGAATGTGTTTATAGAAGTGGAGCCGTACCTGTTGGTTGTCACATTATAAGGACACTAGCTTCTTAAATGGACAAATTGCGTCTAGCAATAATGAGATTGAGCAATAACAGGTCTGTGATGCCCTTAGATGTCCTGGGCTGCACGCGCGCTACAATGAAAGTATCACGTGTATTTCCTAGACCGAGAGGTCCGGGTAAACCGCTGAACCACTTTCATGCTTGGGATTGTGAACTGAAACTGTTCACATGAACTTGGAATTCCCAGTAAGTGTGAGTCATTAACTCGCATTGATTACGTCCCTGCCCTTTGTACACACCGCCCGTCGCTACTACCGATTGAATTATTTAGTGAGGTCTCCGGACGTGATCACTGTAACGCCTCGTGTGTTACGGATGTTTCGCAAAAGTTGACCGAACTTGATTATTTAGAGGAAGTAAAAGTCGTAACAAGGTTTCCGTAGGTGAACCTGCGGAAGGATCATTAACGTGTTCCAACCGTATAACAAAAACAAACTTTTATTCTCCAAATTTCTTCTGCATAGAAGAGAAATTTGGAAATAAAGTTAAAAACAAGAAAGAAGAAGACCAATCATAAACTTTTTTCAATGTACTGGTTTACAATTCGAAAGAATATAAAATCATACATTGGCGCATAGTTGTAAAGAATTTAATTATTCCATGCAACTATTCGATTATACTCAGTGTACTGTTTTGATCTTCATTGATCGAATACATACATTGCATAACAAAAACATACAATTACAGTTGTACTTATATTTAATATAAGTTAATGTCCTTCTTCTGTTTGCTCGACATATACCACCGAGTGGAGAATGTCGATGTCAAGCGGTTGTTTGGACTAAGACATTCGCAACATAAATTGTATGTATAAAAAACATAACTTATTGAAGAAATTGATATATGCCAATTCATTTTGGTGTATTTTTGATTTCTTTCAATAAAAACAATTTTGACTGTATACACAAAACAAAAATAAATTATCACTCTAAGCGGTGGATCACTCGGCTCATGGGTCGATGAAGAACGCAGCAAACTGTGCGTCATCGTGTGAACTGCAGGACACATGAACATCGACATTTTGAACGCATATCGCAGTCCATGCTGTAAGGTACTTTAATTAATTTTAGAGTGCTGCTTGGACTACATATGGTTGAGGGTTGTAAGACTATGCTAAATAAGTTGCTTAAATAATCAAATCATCAAATGATTTGTGTTTTGAGCACATGTTATATTACTGGATTCTGTTCATCATTGGATGAATAAAGAATTCATAATATTAATAGTCAAGATAGAATACCTCATTGAAAAAATCCTAGTATTTTCTCAAATACTTATATATATTATTTCAATCGATTGAGGAAGGTCTAGCATAAAATGATTTTTTTATGAAACTAGAATTGTCTCTTTTGAATTGAAAAACGAAAATTTCATATACCGAAAAGAAAGGATTTTTTTCATTTGAAAATGATGGTGTTTCTATTTAATGTATAACTGAATAGTATCTGTTTTATACAACCTCAACTCATATGGGACTACCCCCTGAATTTAAGCATATTAATGAGGGGAGGAAAAGAAACTAACAAGGATTTCCTTAGTAGCGGCGAGCGAAAAGGAAAGAGTTCAGCACTAAGTCACTTTGTCTTTATGGCAAATGTGAGATGCAGTGTATGGAGTGTTCAATTTCTAGTATGAGAAATTAACGATTTAAGTCCTTCTTAAATGAGGCCATTTACCCATAGAGGGTGCCAGGCCCGTATAACGTTAATGATTACTAGAGAACATTTCCAAAGAGTCGTGTTGCTTGATAGTGCAGCACTAAGTGGGTGGTAAACTCCATCTAAAACTAAATATAACCATGAGACCGATAGTAAACAAGTACCGTGAGGGAAAGTTGAAAAGAACTCTGAATAGAGAGTTAAAAAGTACGTGAAACTGCTTAGAGGTTAAGCCCGATGAACGAATATCCATTATGGAAATTCATCGTTACGATTGCTATATGAATAATAAGTGAGAATGGCGTGCATTTTTCCATATAAGGACATTGTAATCTATTAAATACACAATTTATCATAAGATCGATGGCGAAAGTTTATTCAAATTAGTATGCTTGCGTATTAGTGCTGTCGATTGGATAAAGTGTTGATAGATCTATTATATATAGCGCTTGAATACTTGTATTCTATAATGGCACATTAATCTTGATTTTTGTGTTTATTATATGCGCTTATATGATTTACAATGCGAAAGATTCAGGATACCTTCGGGACCCGTCTTGAAACACGGACCAAGGAGTCTAACATATTTGCAAGTTATTGGGAATTTAAACCTAATAGCGAAATTAACATAACTTTTATGGGATAGTTTTTAGTCTATTTATAGTCTATTATTCAATCCCGGGGCGTTCTATCAGTTATGCATAATAATATTTATATTATTTATGCCTCTAACCAGAGCGTACCTTGAGCATATATGCTGTGACCCGAAAGATGGTGAACTATACTTGATCAGGGGAAACCCTGATGGAAGACCGAAACAGCTCTGACGTGCAAATCGATTGTCAGAATTGAGATAGGGGCGAAAGACCAATCGAACCATCTAGTAGCTGGTTCCCTCCGAAGTTTCCCTCAGGATAGCTGGTGCATTTAAAAATTATGTAAAATAATCTTATCTGGTAAAGCGAATGATTAGAGGCCTTAGGGTCGAAACGACCTTAACTATTCTCAAACTTTAAATGGGTAAGAACCACACCTTTCTTGGTATGAAGGTGTGGTTGTGATAAATGTGCCCAGTGGGCCACTTTTGGTAAGCAGAACTGGCGCTGTGGGATGAACCAAACGTAATGTTACGGTGCCCAAATTGACAACTCATGCAGATACCATGAAAGGCGTTGGTTGCTTAAAACAGCAGGACGGTGACATGGAAGTCGTAATCCGCTAAGGAGTGTGTAACAACTCACCTGCCGAAGCAACTAGCCCTTTAAAATGGATGGCGCTTAAGTTGTATACCTATACATTACCGCTAAAGTAAATGGTTTATATTCAATTTCGGTTGGATTTTAAACTTTGAAACTTTAGTGAGTAGGAGGGTACAATGGTGTGCATGGAAGTGTTTGGCGTAAGCCTGCATGGAGCAGCCATTGGCACAGATCTTGGTGGTAGTAGCAAATAATCGAATGAGACCTTGGAGGACTGAAGTGGAGAAGGTTTCGTGTGAACAGTGGTTGATCACGAGTTAGTCGGTCCTAAGTTCAAGGCGAAAGCTGAAAATTTTCAAGTTATAATTGACAATTGCAAAATTGTGTGATTAAACACTTGAATAATTTTGAACGAAAGGGAATACGGTTCCAATTCCGTAACCTGTTGAGTATCCGTTTGTTATTAAATATGGGCCTTGTGCTCATCCTGGCAACAGGAACGACCATAAAGAAGCCGTCGAGAGGTATCGGAAGAGTTTTCTTTTCTGTTTTATAGTCGTACTACCATGGAAGTCTTTCGAAGAGAGATATGATAGATGGACTAGAAGAGCATGACATTTACTGTTGTGTCGATATTTTCTCCTCGGACCTTGAAAATTTATGGTGGGGTCACGCAAACTTCTCAACAGGCCGTACCAATATCCGCAGCTGGTCTCCAAGGTGAAGAGTCTCTAGTCGATAGAATAATGTAGGTAAGGGAAGTCGGCAAATTAGATCCGTAACTTCGGGATAAGGATTGGCTCTGAAGATTGAGATAGTCGGGCTTAATTGGAAGCAATACATGGTTTACGTAATCGTTCTGGGTAAATAGAGATCTCCGGATCTTGTTCCTCGATAGTTGCTATGTAACCAATGTGGAACTTTCTTGCTAAATTTATTGTTGCATCGCAAGGTGTGTACTCTTTAATTATAACGACTATCAATTAACAATCAATTCAGAACTGCACGGACTTGGGGAATCCGGACTGTCTAATTAAAACAAGCATTGTGATGCCCTAGCGGGTGTTGACACAATGTGATTTCTGCCCAGTGCTCTGATGTCAAAGTGAAGAAATTCAAGTAGCGCGGGTAAACGGCGGGAGTAACTATGACTCTCTTAAGGTAGCCAAACCTCGTCATCTAATTAGTGACCGCGCATGAATGGATAACGATAGACGTATATCGTACAGCTTTAGTAAAGTGTGTTAAATGCGTTTTTTCCTTGGAAAATCTTAAGAAAGTGATAAAAAGTGATTAAAAGTGTTTTAACTTCAAGTAATAATTGAAGTTTTGTGAAATTTGGAGAAAATCGGTAAGTTTTTACTGTTTTCCAAATTGGTATTTTTCCTTGCAAATTGTTGTGCAAAACTGGGGCTCCGCTAGCCACGTGCTTTGGTGTCTCATCTGACCTTCAGCAGTTTGTTTTGTTTTTCAGCGCATCTGTTTGGATCGCTGTTAATTTTTTGGTTGCGCCATCTATCGGGGATGGGCAATTGTATAGTTTTCCTTACATATTATATGTAGTTACAACCACATATTTACGTGTGGTTTGTAAAGCATATTTTTAGGCGTTTTGCTTTTATCTGGTGGTTTACCTGCTAGATAAGGTAAGCGCTTGCCGCCTAAACCGTCGACTCGTAGGAGTCGCAAAAAGGCGGAGGGGGTACAACTCCCTCCCCGTCTGGTGAAGAGATTGAGTCCTCTTGTGCAAAGAGGAAATGTGTGCTGGCACCGCTGGCTGCTTCTGGCATGAGGCCAGAGGTAAATCCAGTGGTGAAGAGAGCGTTGTTGCCGTTAAGGCTGCCAACGGGGCTGATGGTGCATCAGGCAGTAATGCTACTGGTGTTGTCGCCACTGTGTTGTTGCTGTAGGTGTTGCATCGGCCTCAAGGCTGTTAAATCTGTTGGTGGCAATGACTTCTTGAAGTCATTGCCGTTTCCGCTGCTGCTATGTCTTCGGACATATTGTCGAGCTGCGACGAGGCTGAATGCGCTGCTGTTAAGCAGAGCGACGCTCTCGCCGTAGTGGTTTTGACCGGTTCGGCTGCATCTGCCATTGGTTGGTTCGAGGTGCTACATCAAGGGTTCTCTTTCTTGGTGCAAC